TCTCTCGCAATACATTTTAGAGAAAGATATTCTGTTTAGTTACAGTTTACTAATTAATTATGAAGTCAATGTAATTGCTTTTACAATAACTTTTTCTAGCATTTTACTATCTAAATAAATAATATTGGCATGAGGACAAGTTTTCAACACATTAATATCAAATCAATATTCAAAACCATTCGCTGGAAAATGCCTATATATTCAATTTATTTTTGGTTTGCCATCAATTATTTCGCTCTTCCAACTCTAATTGGCAACATTAGTAAAATTTAAATTTACATATTAATATTAATAATAGCATAATATGTATGTAACGTTAATGAAATTCGAATTCGAATACACAGTATACCATACGAAATAAATAATTTGAACTCTGTATAATTTAAAAAGAGTTGCCTTTGGAAATAAATGGTTTTGAAGCCAAAAAAAATATTTACCTAGTGCAATAATTGCATTCAGCTTTTCCATCTACAATCATAAAAAGGTTCCACACTTCACTTTTTGCTCTTCTTTGAACAAATTGCACTGTGCCTGTTGAATAAATTACCGAAGAGGCATCATTTTCAAGCATCATTTTCAACAATGCAATTATCGTCATTGTTATATTTATTATTTAAATTTAAAACAATGAATTGTGCAACTGTAAATTATATTATCTTTTATTTGTTATCGTTATTAATAGTAATAGTAAGTTCTTGTTTCAACGAATTATAATTAAATTCATTAAATTCACGTTATGAATTTTTTAAATTTTTGTTTCACTGGTGGTCTTACCCATTGAATAAATTGCTGACTAATTGCCGATAATCCGATTAATAGAATGTTGACGATTGGATAATCGGGTAATCGGCGATTAATCGTTGAATATTAATATTAATAACCAGTTATGAAAAAAAATTTGAATATTAATATAACAATATAGAAAGGTAAAAATATTTCCACAAGATTTATTAATCCTTGTGGAAAATATTAGTGTCTCTTGATTTTTAATTAGAGGTTGGCACCGCACAATAAATTCTTTAACCGGTTGACTTTTTTAGTCACGTGAAATTTTTTAACTGGAAAATTCGAATAAAACGAATAATATAACCGATAATAATAATGATAATAAGAGTATATGCACTATCCAATCCGATTAAAAAAAATTTATCAGTTCTATTTTTCCTTCATAGTCCTTGTGGCGATAATAATAGTAGTAGCAGAAGTA